CAATATGCTGACTCTCTGTAAACCGCTTAGAGAGGCCTGAAAGGCCTATGAAGCGGTATATAAGTCTACTGCTATTGCTATTGCTATTACAGTGGTTACCAACACAAATAGCTTTTAGATCTTTAGAACACCGGGTGTGTGCCTGACAAAAAGCTGGCCATCACACATGCATACAATGGAAACCCAGAAGTTTAGATGCCGGCATGCGCATGGGCATCAGAACACTGCTCTTCCAGGTTTCAGAGCTCCCGTGCATGTGAAGGGCAGCTGACCGGCAGAACTTTAATACCTTTATTTGCAAGTTTTCTTCTGTTCCTGATAAAAGGCAGGATATAAATCTAAACAATAGTAAAAAAAAAAAAACCCTTAACACCCCACTTCATTTTGTTATCATACTGTAAACTTTGTTTATGCAGATTTGTCACTGAAACTTAAGCCCCAAGAGAGCTACATTGTCCTTGGTTTATCAGGCAACCAAGACTGGTCAGGTGCTCCTTGGTCATTACAATGAATACTTGAATATCTCAATGGCCTCTCCATTCCCACTGAAGTCTACCTGCCTTCAAACTCAGTGGTCTGTAGGAAAGCCTTGGAATTTGACTTTTATAACAGTCTTGAGGCAGGGAGTTTTGAAACATCCTCTTGATTATGTTTTTGCTGATTAAAATTTTGTTTTTGTATAATTTCTGTTTCTCTGCAATTATTGAGAACTTGTTTTTCTCTCATGTAAGCTGTTAATATTTATATTGTGTAGTAATTTTTTGAGTTTTAATTTGTATCTATTATTCAGTTCTATGCTGCCTAGAAATATTATTATGATTGAAGTGGTCTATAAGTTAATTAAATAAAACACAATAGAGAAAATAAGGAAATCGCAACGGGTACCCTCTGCACTGAGTGCTCTGCAGAAGTGTCAGGGGGGCCTGCCTAATCCCAGCCTTAGAATGTCTGATTCGAAGGGCCTGCCGGGTAACACGGTGGCCTGGGGGGAGGGGGGAGGGACCATGGACCCCGGAGTGGGCCAGAACATTAAGGTCATAACAGGGAGGGGCAGATATGGTGGGGACTTTAGGGCGAGCCATTACCGGGGAAGGAGGGTTTGCTACGTCACAGAGATCCCTCCTTACGGNCCCAGAAGATCCTGAATTGTTTCATCCTCCTTTACCATTCCCCCCCCCCCCCCCCCCCCCCCCGATTGCTTGAAATGGCTTTCTTGTTTTATAAAATGGGTTTATAAAAGTCTTGAAATGGATCTATTCCGCCCTCCCTCTCCCTGGCCAACCCAATAATCATTCTGTAATGTTGCTGCTGGAGACTCTAAGCTTCTTGGCAAATCACATTTGAATGCTTTCGATCAAGGGGTCTGCAACCTTGGCAACATTACAACTTGTGGACTTCAAGTCCCAGAATTCCTCAGCCAGCGCATGCACGACAGCTTGTGGACTTCAACTCCCAGAATTCCTCAGCCAGTGCATGCATGATGGCTTGTGGACTTCAACTCCCAGAATTACGACTTCCCTGGCTGAGGAATTCTGGGCATTGAAGTCCACAAGTCATAACATTTGCCAAGGTTGCAGACCCCTGCTTTAAATTCAAAATCCTTGCCGTAACACAGTAGTAGAAAGGAATAACAATGCGCGAGCTGAGATCAGAGCGTTTCACTTCCGCGACAGGTCTTCTGCTGGGCTGCCCCTCACGGCGTAACTTCTCTGTTTCCCGCTCCCCTCTCCCGTTTCTTCCTCAGAGAGACAACCCACCTCCTCCTCCAGGGTTTATTATGCAGAAGGACCTGAACCCCCATATGCCACCGCATCATCAGCCTGCCCATCCGGATTACAATATGTACACACGGCAACCGTGCCCGCAACGTAAGTAGCTTTTGTCTTCTCTGGACTTCGCATGCTGGATTCCTTAAAACGACTCGGCAAATACGGGATAATCTGTTGCTTTTGTTTTCCTCGAAGCTAATCCCTCTTTCTAAAGATAATGTTTGTTCTGACCTAGGCTTCCCCAGCAGCACAAAGCCGAATCCTCGTCCCGATAAACCCCTTTTATTTAATTTACAGCGAATTCCTCTCCAGCAAAGTTCTTTCCTCTCCCACAGTCTTTCAAGATAGTTCACAATTACCAAACTTTAACAGGCTTGGAGAGTGGCCAGGCCGATATGTTTCAAATGCCGCAATACTTGGCAAGGATGCAGGAATGAACTAATTGTCTCCTGCAAACTCCACTCCCCTTTCACTCCTCTTTTATTTCCTCTGGGAGGGGCCATTCACCATCCATCTGGGCTTTTAGTCCTGAGTCAACCCTTGTTCCTTAGCTGTTCCCTTCATCTGATAACTCAGTGCATGCGCACACTGGGAACAGGCTCCACCTGTTCTTCTGCCCTAGTGATCTCCGACTCCAAAGGCAACTGATAACTGTCAGACTGTTCTGGACCCCTCTCTGCCTCTGACACAGAGTCCTCATCAGAGCCTTCCCCAGACTCCAGGACTGGCCCATGTTCCTCCCTAACCTCCTCACTGTCCAAATCTGCTGCCGGTCCACTGTCCGCTGGTGGGCCACAACAGTGTTATCTGGTGCCAACCACCAGTGTAATCTAACATAACTGTTCAATAGATTAACTGAGCCTTTTTCAACTGTGGCAACTTTAAGATGTGTGGACTTCAATTCCCAGAATTCCCTAGCCAGCTGTGTCACCAGGAACAGTCTAAGCAGCTACATTCTATGCCAGCCTCTGAACACTCTTCAAGGGTAGCCCCATATAAAGTGCAGCTGCTGGGCCCATCCTTCAGCTCAGATCTCTCCTCCTCTCCTGTTTTGGATACATGTTATTTGCAGCTCTAATTGATTAATTTCCCCCAGGGCATCTTTTAAAAAAATGAATATAGATTTTGCAGTCAAGAGAGCTGCAGGTTAGTGAGAATTCATATGATTTCCTTCTCCCCCTCCTCCCTAACTTAATCAATAACTAATGTAACAATTCTTCACAGCCTAGCAATTTTTATTCTGGGCAAACTATTTTGTGCTTTTAGGCTGACTGATTATACGTCTGACTTTAATTATCGCATTTCAAAAGGGGGGGAAAACGGACCTTGGGTGATTAATATCTTTTTCTAAACCAGTATAAAGCTGTAAAGTAAGTTCTGCCTTGTTCGTATGTGGACGTTTTAATTCTGTTTAAAACTTCCTTCTGGTGGCTTTTCACTATTAAAACAGAAACCTGTCTAGAGGTCTGTGCAGATAGTCCTCGGCATACGACCACAATGGATCCCAAAATTTCTGTTGCTAAGCAAGGTAGTTGTTAAGTGAGTTGGACTCGTTTTATAACCTTTTTGCCACAGTTGTTAAGTGAACCACTAGTTGTTAACAGGATCATACAGTTAAGTAAACCAGCCTCCCCTCCCCACTCCATATTGATTTGACTTGTCATAAGATAAGATTGTCAGGCCTGCAGCCATCTTTTATTTTGGGACTTTGGCCTGCCACACTTTCTATTATTCTATTGTGCATTTTCTATCGTGGGAAAATGGGAGCGGGGGATTGTACAGAGTTAGATGCTATGTAGCCATAACAACATTCCTTGTAGAAAACCAAGGTCATCCTTTGTCTCCGCACCTCTGCACCTGACCGGAACTGGATGGGTGGAACTGCCAGCATGGCAGTGGGAGATTGGACCATGGGATGGGCTTGTGGGTGTGGGGGCAAGATCTGGAACTTACAACTGGGTGGGGAAAACTGGGAAGCTTTCAGATTTGGGTTTTCCCAGATGTGCCAACATGGCTCTCTTCATAAATTGGAACTTTGAGCAATACTTTGCCTTGGACTCTGATTTACTTTTAGATGCTATTTGGAACCCTGACAAAGATAAGATGGCTGAGAAGGTTACAAATGGTGATCACATGACCCCGGGACAGTGCAGCTGTCATGCCAGTTGCCAAGTGCCCGGAGTTTGATCATGTGACCATGGGATACTGCAACAGTAATCAATGTGAAGGTCACTTACTGATATCAGTCACTTTTTTCAGTGCCATTGAAACTTCAAATGGTCACTGGACGTACAGGTGTAAATCAACGATTACCTGTCATCTGAAAGAATGGCAGACACAGATAGTCCTCGACTTACAACAGTTCATTTAGTGACCATTCGAAGTTAACAACGGCACTGGGAAAAAAGTGACTTATGACCATTTTTCACATTTATGACTTTCGCAGCATCCCCATGGCCACGTGATTTAGCAACTGACTCATATTTATGACGGTGGCAGCCTCCTGGGGCCGTGTGATCCCCTTTTGCACCCTTCTGACAAGCAAAGTCAACGTGGAAGCCCGATTCACTTAACAGCCACGTTACTAATCTACATAGGGCAGTGATTTGCTTAACAAGGGCGAGCAAGGGTGACTGCAGCCTGGATGCGCTGGCGAGAACTCACCGGGGTGCTATGTGACAGACGGATGCCAACCCGTCTTAAATCTAAGATTTACAAGACAACCATCCACCCTGTTGCACTGTACGGCACTGAATGCTGAGCAGCAACAACAGGGACCGAAAGCTCTCTCCGTGCCAAGGAAATGCGAAGGCTCCGTTGGGTATCGGGCATCTTCCTTCTCAACCGTATCATTCGACAACATTTTGGTGTGACACAAATTATAGAGGAGATGAGAGAAGGCCAACTCCGCTGGTATGGGCATGTCCAGAAAGCAGCACCTTCCGCCGTGGCCAAAACTGCCTACCAACTAAAAGACTGTCAGGTTTCTTAGGTAAGCTCCCCGTTGGGAGAGCGAGTGCGTTCAGAGAAGCGTTGTGAGAGTTGTGTTGGAGAACACACAAA